TTTTTGGCGGAAACCATAGTGGTGGTCGAGTAGATCATGTTGTGCGGGGTCGAGAACCCTCACTCCGCGCAAGGGGGATGATCGCACCACGTTGTGTTAACATGGTCAACCACCCTCGAGGCAGTTACACAGTGCTTACAACTGTCTCCGGAAGTGAAAGCACCAGAAAAAGTCATACGAAGCCGTCATCCGTACGCAAGGAAGTAAGCACAAGATGCCGAAAACCCTTAGCAGAATGCAGCGCACCGTTCATGCGACTCGCCGAATATCTCACGGCGCTTCGCGCTTGGTGATGTGAGAGCCTGGTCCGGTGAGAACCCGGCGTGCTCCGTCCCGGCTTTGTAGGGATGCGAGGCCAATGGTCTAACGACTACGGCATGCACGACCATGAGTACACCCCCCCCACCCCCACCCCCCTTGCCCCCCCTTCGCCTTCAGCATCATCGACAACAACAACGAGGACACCGCCGTATGCCGCGCGTACTACAAGATCAAGGAGGTCACGTCCCGGGCCGACCTGTCCTTCGGCGAGGATTGGACGGCGGTGAGCGATTGGTTTCATGTTTGTAATGTTATTCTTGATTTCACCTTCGCCCGCATCGCTCGGACCCGCCGGGGCGGTAGGGGTTCCCGTAGGAGTGTTCACTCCCTTCTCCGACCCTCTCGATAGGGCTACCCTGCGAGCACGAGACGGGGCGATCCGCAGCAATTGATCGCATCTGAGGAGACCGTGCTCATTCAAGGCTCATTCAAGCACTCTCGATGAAGGCGTCATTGGCTGTGGGTCGTGTCGTTGGTCGCTGATTGTTCGAAAATTCTGCCTGCTGCCGCGAAGCTGTTTTGGTCAAGGATTGGCGTTTGGGCCGAGAGAATCACCACTGGTGACTCGAGCTGCCCTTCGGCAGCACAGGGGGGTGACGACGCACACCGTTTCTTTGTTGTTTCTATGCAGTGTCGTCCGATAACCTCGTTGTTCGTGTAGACCACCCCACGAGTTTTTTCTCGCAACGCTCAATCGTCTGCGGATTCATTGTTCCCGCTGGCTTTCACTTCATCCGAAGGAACGGGCACATGGTCTACACACACCCCTTGTTGATCCTCTCGGACGGTCGTTACAATCTCTTTTTCGCTCTCTGCCCGTGCGCGCGCACGCAGATCGACATCGGCGCGGCCCCCGGCGGATGGACCTCCTTCCTGGCCTCCAAGTGCCGTAGGGTACTCTCTGTCGACCCTGCCGAGCTGGACCCTGCGGTCCTTGCCCTGCCTAACGTGGTGCACGTTCAGCAGCTGATCGAGGCCGCGGAGGGGACTCTCCATGAACTCCTCGCCGAGGACGCGCCGACACACGAGCGGGAATGCGGTTGCGGCGAGGGAGAGGAGCGCGACGATGGCGGTGGTCGTACCCACGACGGACGGAATAGCGGCGGTGGTAGCTCCACGCCAGAACAATCGTCCCTCGCGTCTCGCTTGACGCCGGGAGGGCCTGTAGCTTCCGCGGGATCAGCGGATACGGCGGACGAGGCGTCATCAATGGGGGCGAACGGCCGGCCGGCAGCACCGGGGAAGCGCGGGGGAGCGGAGCTAGTCGTGTCCGACATGAACGCCGAGCCGGCGGTGGTCGCGGACGTCCTCCTCTCGGCGATGTCGGCCGGGCTGGCGAGGCCCGGCGCGCTGCTCGTTGCTACGTTCAAGGACTTCTGCGGGCGGCGCAAGAGGATGAAGGACGAGGTGGCCGTGGCCGTAGAGCGATTGCGAGTCGGTACTGCCATTGTCGACGGCGGCGCTTCGGGTGTCGGAGAGGGGGACGGGGCCCCCGCACCTGCGCCTTGTGGTGGAGGTCCCCCCAATGCGGAGACCTCTGGCAACGATGCCGACGAAGGTTTGGAACCAGGTAACGGTCTCTCGCACGCTGGCACACCGCCGGAAGGGAGAGTGGCAGGGGTTGCCTGCGAGAAAGAGGGGGCTGGGGAGGAAGGTTGGTGGAGATTAGAAGAGATCGAGACGATGAAGCTGTTGGCCGGCGGGCGGGCAGAGGTTACAATCGTCGCGCGGGTGGCCCACGGAACGGAGGTAGCAAACGGAGGCGATGGCGGCCATTAGCGACTACCATTACCGGCTCCTCCGCATCGACAAGCGCTGAAATTTGATTTGGTGCCAGCGACATCGCCAACAAGTGTCCGTTTCGCGCGTTGGCAGAGGTCCGCAGTACGCCACTGGCTGCTAACTTGCGTCGTGAGCCGTGGCTTGCTCCCAGGTTCAAGGGACGTTCCACTCGTAGCTCGTGATGGGTGGCGGTGGGCGGGCGTCGTCTTCGGGTGGTGAAGCGGTGTTTCGTAGAGTGATACAGCAGTGGCGGTGTTTCGTATTAGTGTGGTACCAGTCCCTCACACCACACAGCACGATGAGCGGTCCCTCAGCCGCGACTTCGTCTTGCTGGCTTCGGGGGCTGCGCCACGACAACGCGTAGGAGAAGCACCTTGAATGTGTCGTGAATCGTTTTGGGTTTCCCTAGAACAACGCTCCGGGATGTGGGCAGGCTGATTCAAAACGGTTCCTGCGTGGATTCCGCCTAAATAGTTTACGTCATGATGTCGCCCGAAGCACATGGGGTTAGTTAGCACGTTGGGTGTATACTGCAAAACGTCTGCAGCCGTGAATATGTTGATGCATTTTCACCGATAGGCAAGTTTTGAGAGTGCGCCCACCATGGTGGGTCTAGCCTATGGCTAAATTTTGGGGGAAATCCTCTGGCGTGTTGATCACACGCGGGGTCCTCGCATGGAGCGGAACTTACTTGGAAGCATTTTTTTCGTGGGAGGGTGGTGTTTAGCGAAGGACACGGCAGATGTGCCTGGTTTCAAGAACAAGTCTTGCATGTTTTTTAACGGGTTGCGGGCAGTTTCCACACACAACGTTTCTGTGCGATTTGAAGTTTTGGTTCATTTACTTGTCAGCTGAACGTGAGGGGAGCGTGAAAGGTATGGCGCGTTGGGCGAAAGGGAAGTAACTTCTTTGGAGCCGAGATGAAGGCCTTGGACTGGAAGCGTTACCGTCGGCATGCGCTGGGCGGATGTTTTTTGTCCCGTTAGTTTTGCGTCAGCGAGAATGAGGTAAGTCTCGCGCGTCGCAAGCAAGGCAAGGTAGGAGTTGTGGCTGCGTGCGTGCGTTGCTTCTCTCAGCACTGCGGCATGTGATTTGTACCATTTATCAATGTCGGGTACGCAATGCGTGCTTTCCGTGGGCACTGAAGTCGTAGTTTACGAGTCGAACGCTTCGCACTGGGGCATGTTGTCGCTGGGTGTTGGCTGCGTCACAATCTAATTTGCAAGCTGGCTACAAGCAACGCAGAAGAGGTGCCGCCGAGATCGTGTGTGTCATGAAGTCTAGCCGCTGGTGCAAACGCTGTTTGTCGGTTGGGCCGGCCTTGGTGGGATGAGGAATTTTTGGCTCACCTCAACCCTGGATACCTAATTCTTCGGAATTAGTTATCGTGCGGGCGGTTTCGCATGAGGGAACCATCGGTGGCGTATAACTACGATTGTATCGAAATGGTCGAACAACGAGGGACAAAACGACGGGCACTGCATAGCAGTCAGTGCCTAAATTAGGGATGACGGCGTTGAGGCGATGGGAGGAACGTATCCGATGCCCGCAACTAACCCAACATGATAGCATTGACTTCGGTCTTCTGCTGGGGGTTGCATATGGCGCTCCTGCGTGAATGAAAAATCCACATATGCTTCTATTCTTACGCGGCCCGTGCGCTACGTTTTCGTGCCGACTTCACGTCGGGTTTCCGTGTCGTTCAGACGAATTCTCCCCGACACGAACATTAATGCCAACGGGCAAGTGAGCGCCAAGAAAAGCCTTCAACTCTTGCAAAAACACCCTGTCCCAACCACGCACAAAAACAGCCGAATCGAAGACGTTGGCAGTCATTCGCTTCTGAGCCTTGGGAAGCACTTCGCCGGCGCGTCTCTCAACATGCATGCATAGCTCACCGTTCATCGAGGAACTCGCCCTCGAGCGATATGTCCACAACAAGGAAACAACAGAGCACACGACCAATCCGCCAAAAACAAATTGACCACAAACGCGCAGAATAAATACCATCGAACGTAGGGCCACACAAACAAATAAACAGGAAAAAAGAACGCGACATAAAAGTCTACGCCGTCTCCCCGCCGTATCCTAGGAGGAGAAAAGCGGTCTCGCTCTACGCAGACGCGATGCCGGGATTTCTCCAGTCCTTCTGTACGTCGTCCAGGTGCTCGTCCATGTCCACCAGCCTACCCTCCGTCTTGTCTGCCAGCGCCGACTCGAACGCTTGGACAGCCTCTGCTGCCACCTCGACCTGACGAGCACACAAGTAGTAGGGGTATGATCCACGGCGTTGTGGTTGGTCTTTGTCCCCCGCAAGTATCTCGAAAAAAAAAGAGAGAGGAGGGTCGCTCTTCGGCTCGTTCTTCTCCGCGTGCCTCCCTAGGAACCCCTCGGGCTATGAAGCGTTTTGCTCTACACCAAACCACACGCACACGCACACGTCTACCCTGTCGGACGGCAACAAAACCATCGATGGCCAAAAGCCAGACGAAACATGCAAAGAACCAACAAGAAGACGGAGACGAAAGCGTACCTCGACGTGCTTCCGGAAGGAATTGTTGTTGTCCCGTCCGTACGCCGACACCGCGCTGTCCCCCGCGGTCTCCAGGCGCTTGTTGCTGAACACAAGACCAAAGAGGGTCGGCGTGTATGTGTGTGTGGGTGTTCAGATAACACGCAGCAGGTCTGCTTTCACGACTGCGTTGTTTCCCTCGAGCAATGGGCATCATTGCAAAATATAGGTGTAGTGGTGTACGTGCTGTGTGTCTCCTTTCTAGGGATGTCCTGGATTCAGCGGCTGGACGTTTTCGTCCAGTATTAACTTCGCCTATCCCGGTCGTAGGACCCTACCTCGAACATTAATTTTGTTCATATCGTTACGACTGCCTTCCAAGGAACGCTCCTGCTTTAAACCATGATATAAAATCGTGTCTTTGACGAGACTCTCTTCGACTTGCAGGCGGTCTCAGCGATATGCTTGTCACCAGAGACAGGTAAAATGGCTGGTTATCCAGGTGTTCCGTCGGGCTGGGCCGTTCTGATTATAGGGTAGCCGCTACGAGACGAGAGTCACAATCATCAGGAACATGAAGCAAGCTTGACGGCGATCTAAGCGGAACACCCAAACAACCACGTAGCATGTCCCAAGCATAATCCCTGGAACAACAAAGCGCGTGGTTTCCCTGGAACGTTTGGCAAAAACAGACGCGGCTGCACCCCTTGAGCCTCAGCGCAAAATAGATCCCGAAACCACGCCTCGTAGACAACCTACCTCTGCAAGTGTTCGGACCGCACTGCTGTACACCATAACACACAAGACACGACACCTAAAATAGATAACATACCTCCCACAGCATACCATCCCCGGGGATCGTACGTGTGCGGCAACATGAACCCAAACGTGACCCTACTCTCAGACCAAGCAGCAGGGCGACCGAAGACACCAAACACCCACAATATCTGGTAATGACAGTATCACCGGGTTTGTTATCTTATCTTGTGTGAAGGTACGGACGGTAGTCTGGTGTGTTGGGGACGTGAAGCAATTCGATCACCAGGTGGTACTTCGGAAGGATAAGGAGCTATCTCCGCCTTTGGCATACCTGATGACTACGAGCACAGAGGGCCCCGCGTGCGTGGAATCGATCTTGTTCATGACCTCAGTGGCCAGCGCTCCTGGTGCGTTATCGTCCAAACATTGGTTCGCCTGTATCGTTACCCGCCATCCCCAACACCGGCGTTCCAACATCCACGATGACAAGAGCCGTTTGACGGACGTACAGCGCCGCCACGCCAACACCACGGCCGCCGCGAACAACGTTGAGCAACAAGTCCGAATGCCATTTGCACGGAGGCAACCGGGAAATAGCGAGGGTGTCAACGAAGCTCATGGTCCTGGAATTTGGGCAATGCGGTGAAAAGGATGTGGCAACTACAGCAGCTATTTACTGAAAATCTCTCGAATTCTCTGAAGGGGG